GTTGTTGTTGTTGTTGTTGTTCACATAGTTAGCCAGGTATTTAGACTGGAGTTGTCAGTCACAAGATTAAGAGTTTTGTGGAATTTTAATCTCCGTTATGACTTATGAGTTAATGCTTAGAGCATGTGATAGTAACATGCTGGAAATGGATCTGGCAGGTATAAATGTTATTTACATTTTGTAGTAAAGTGTGAGTATTCTCATCAGGCTAGTATCTGTTGGGGAAGGTAGATGTCCAGAAACTGTTGTTAGGGAAATTTAAAGCAATGATAGATGGCAATAGGTAAAGATTATGAAAATAGATGAAATGTGATCCTTATGGAAAATTGGCTCAGAAGAAATTTTGTTTAATCTGCTCTGGATATTAAACTTCTTGCTATTTACTGTCCTTACCAGCTGCTATTGCAGTAATTTTACAAGAGAACTTTGTAAAAGGTGGAATTTTGCCACCTAGCAAAGGAATGGTATTTATTTGTGTGCTGTGTGTTCATAACTTTGTTGTTTCGTATCTGGGCCTGAAATTGTTTGAGGCCAGAGGTCTGCTGAAGGTTTTTAATTCATGATAAAGGTGACAATAGAAGATTCCTTATAGAATATATAAATTTGTCTCCCATCAAGAAAGCTGATGCATTAATTATTTTAATAACAAAAGAAAAGAAATATTCCACTTGTGAGAGATAAGAGGGACAAAAAGATCCCTCTTATGAATATATATAGCACTATATATGAATCATAGTACTTGAAGGATCTTAGAAGTCTACTAGCCTAATGTCCTGTCCAATGAAGGAATCCTCATACCATCTCAGACAAATGTCTGTCAAATCTTTTCTTGAAAACTTCCTCAACTTTAGGATCTGGGAAGTGTCCACAAATTGGTTCTTTTCTTACCTTCAGACACTATAGAGAATAAGCCTCACCTTCTGTCCTGTATCATCATATCATGCACTTCATTTCATTTCATTTCATTTCATTTCAAATGAAATGAAATGAAATGAAATATCATGCACTTGAATGCATGCCTCGTCTTAGCCTTTTCTTCTGTAGGCTAAACATATCAAGTTCATTTAACCACTCTGTAGGATTTGGCCAAGTCCCTTAGCCAACTTTTCTCTCTTGGTACTCTTTGTACTTTCTTAGCACCATCTTTGTATTGTGGTAACTAGAAATAGCATTCCAGGTGCTTTCTGATCAGTGCATCATAGAAAAGTATTATCACTAATTTTGGCACAAAACTTTGTTGATGAAGCTCAATACTTAACTGTTCAGAAATATAATCTATTATTGAGGTAGATGTTGCCTGCCATTTAAATTTGGATAATAAATTAGATAATAAACTCTTGCCCATTTTTTTCCTGCAATTTCAAGCACTAAAACCTATTCATAGGGTGTTTTTCTCCTCGAATTCTAAGCATTAGTTATGCATTACATTAATACATTACTTCCCATATTGTCCTCAAATTAAACTTTTTAGCTTAGAGATAACAAAGAATGTTTTTGTTGTACTTTTTTTTGCATGATTTTATAGGTTTCAGAAAATAATAGAATAACAGAAATGGAAGGGAACTTGGAAATCTTCTAGTCCAACCTCCTGCTTAGGCAGGAAACCCACACCACTTCAGACAAATGTGTTACTTTTACTTTAAGTATTGATTGCAGTAAGGCCACCACTGATGGTAAGGCACCAAGAGCCGAGGTGGCGCAGTGGTTAGAGTGCAGCACTGCAGGCTACTTCAGCTGACTGCAGTTCTGCAGTTCGGCTGTTCAAATCTCACCGGCTCAAGGTTGACTCAGCCTTCCATCCTTCCGAGGTGGGTAAAATGAGGACCCGGATTGTTGTTGGGGGCGATATGCTGACTCTGTAAACCGCTTAGAGAGGGCTGAAAGCCCTATGAAGCGGTATATAAGTCTAACTGCTATTGCTATTGCTATTGATCCCAAACACATTTATGTGAAATAGAAAAAAATCAATTGGAAAAATGTGAAAATACATACATGGCTTTGCGGTGCTTTAATAATTAATAATTTGACCAGAGGGCTAAAATTTTGTCAATACATTTTGAGCTTTAGGAAAAAATGGATTAAATATAGACAAATTAAAAACTTTCACCAGTGACTTTCACTATAATTGTGCCAACTACAATAAAAAGGAAGCCATAGAAAATGAAAACACATTATTTATTTTCCTCAAACATGAAGACTTGAGGATTACTTTAATAAGTATACGTTCTTTTATTTTATTAATATATTAAAAGTCAGTGAGCCAAAATATTGTATCCTGCCCTTTTCCATGCAGAGGCAAGTTCTAAGGCCCAGAAATGACAAACATGGAAACCTACTCTTGAGTATGTAATGTACCAATCACAACATTTCCCTGCAACTTCAGAGATTATATAATTTGACCACTCAGTATAGGCTGATTTAGAAGTCAATGAAAAACTATAACTGATTCCCAAAGAAACTTCTTGAATTACGTTTTCTGTCAGCCAATTACAATCTGATTTTGAATTTGTGGTTCAAGATAAATCAAAATTTTCACCCAGCACCTCAAATTCCTAGAACATATTCATTGGATCCCAGCCTGTATTTACTGTATATATGGCTTAATAGTACATATTTCAGTTTTAATACCAGAGCTAAATATGCCAAGTAAGCTGCCTACTTGCTTCTCTCTTTTCATCACAAAAATATGCACTGAGTAACTTGTTTAAGTTTTGTTATAATTGTTAAACATATTTGGTTTTATTCTTTAGTTCTCAATAGAGAGATCTGCTATTCTGTCCCTGAATAATTGCTATTTTTTGTGTTTGTTTGCTTTTCTATTTTACAAGTAAATCACATTGAATCACATTGCTTTGCTGAAATGCATATTATGGGCTAATCCAAATAATTGTATTATGTAAATGAGAAGAGCTTTTTAGCTGAATGGAAAGATTTCTTGCCTTTTTTTCCAAAACCTTTAAAAGTGGTGGTTAGGTTAGAAGATTTGGTAAAATAAAAACTCTCCCTGATATTTTTCAATTTACCAATCTATTCTGTAGCAGAAGATACTCCAGAATATGCTTTTGAAAACTGAGAAATAGAAATGTATCAGCTTTAAAGTCTTAGTTGGTAGAAAAAAGAAAATTCCCAAGTATTCTTTTCAATAAATGAAGAAAGTTGCTGTTATTTTTCAAAAGAAAGTTATCCTTTTTTTAACTCTCTATAATAATTGAGTTTTTGTAATGCATACACAAAATTGTGTTTTGGATTGGTGTTTCTATGAGCAAATGATTCATTTCTTCACTACAATCCTATAATTCCATGCCAGTTTATTTGCATGACATAACTTTGGAAGTCATTCTTTACTAAAGATCTTCAGAAAAAGTGGATGGCCTTGTGTCAGAAATCCTGTAATAGATCCTGCACAGACCAAGGATGGGAGTATAGGGCCTTTAAAATTCCTTCCAACCATATGATTGAATAGATTGTTAGAAATCTCTAAATGTAATGTATGGCATTGACTCTGATAAAAGCTATAAGTAGTCCAGCATTTGTTCAAATTCAGCTAAATTTTCATGAACAGAATTCTTACCGGTGTGAAATTTAAATGGAGTGCTTCATTTATAACAACTAATAAATTGGTGAATTAAAAGCAATAAATGTTGACTATGAAAATGCTTCATTCTCTATAACCAGAAACATTTTTCCACAGGCAAAACCTTTTCTTTTTTTTAAGATTGCTTTTCTCTCACCATCTTTTATACATTCATTTTTTCCCGTAGCAGTAACAAATGAAGCTACTTTGGAATCTTTCCCATCCAAAACATCTAAAACTCTTGACTGGCCAAGGGCAACTCTGGGTAAAGTTATTTTTTCACTGGAAATGATTATACTGAGTTTTCTATTTCATCAGAAACATTTTCATTCCATGAGAATTAATTTGTTCGAGAATATAATTTTCCTTCCATACTAATCTTGGTCTATTTTCATCTTCTTTAAAGCCTCTAAAAAGTTTTGAAAATTGTGGTGCATAACTGAATTTCTAAAAGTTTAAATTTTAGATATGCATGAATTTCTTTTTATTATTATTATTATTCATTTTATCTAGAACCATCTTTGTGAGTAGACTGCCTACTGATTACTCATTTGTTTTGGGAACATTGAGATCTTAAACTGTATACTGTAAAACATGCATTACATCTTTATCTTCTTCATCAGCTTGTTGGCCCATTTCTAACTCAATTTCTTCATCATTACAAGATCCTTGCATGTACGATTTTATGTGATATGTTTATAAATCAATCTTGAACAATTTTAAATATATTTAAATATATAAGTTGATGCTCTTTTCAGCACCATCTGAAATCCCAATCACATTGAAATGGAAAGTTTCAGCCACCCCAGAAAGATGGCATGACAAACCTGGTAATTAAAGAACTTTAAGCATGCATGTATATTAATTTGTTTATGAATCACTATAATGTGATTTTATATTTTTGCTTCATTGAACTTGAATATGAGCAAAAAGTCATTATATGTATTTTTATCATTAGTATATTAACTTCTAATAATTTTTATTTTCAGGATTTGGGGAATACCAATTATTTTATGTTAATTTTATCTTGTATGTGAAAAGGAACTTTGAGCCATGTTGCATTTTTACATCTTGTACAATCACTTAAAGAAAGCATGCAGTTTTAATCCTTCTTTCTTTTTGTGCTTATGTTGAAACGGAAAAGCATAAATAACAGTTTGGTATTATGCAAACATTTCTGATTGGTGGATCTTCAGTACATTAACAAACCAATGTCTTATAGTATATATTTGTATATATGTGTTTCTGTATGTGTATGAAACTAGAGGTCTATATTAGCTGTGTGTATGTATGTATGTACATATTATATCTTGATAATATCTTGATTAGAGTTTCTGCCTGATTGTTTGGTGCTAATACCTGCTGTTGCTGTTGGAGAATATGTGTTGTGGTCTTTTTGTTTTCTTCTTAACTTTTTATTGTTGCTTTTGAAAGCTATGTAATTATAATTTATCTCTATGTGTCTATTGATGGCTGATTTGTCTGAATACCTAGGTTCAAGGAATTTCCTAGCATTTTCTTTATTTAGGTTGATCTAAGATGCTCACAATTTTCCAGCTAAAACTATGGTTGTGTCAGTTTAAATTTTTCCTATGAAAAATCTCCTTTTCACAATGACAAATAATAAAATAATGATGTTTTCTGAAAGATTAGATTCCAGTCGCATCAATAAAAAGGCCTTGAGAAGCTGTTCTGAGCATTCCTCCCACATGCAATTTTGTGGTAGGAAGAAATTGAGAGAAAGTGAGAAACCACAGGAGGGCTACGAACAGAAAACCATGACTTCTGGATGATCTTACAAATTCCATGAATAGAACAGGATGATTGTACAATAAAAACCTGAATGCATACAGAAGTGTTGTTTATCAAACATGAACAGTCAGAACATTTGTTTTCAATTAGCTTTAAATCATAAGAGATTTCCATTCTTATTGTTCCATTTGGTGATCTATATATTGAAATAATGTATAGACGAGCATTATAACATTTATGTTCATCTTTGGATACATTTAGATAAAGAACTTAGAGTGACATGTAATAGAATTGTGTGACGATAATACTATCTGCTCAATTGTGTTTGAATCCCCGTGATTCCATGGGCAGCTCTCTTTAACTTTTTCCCAATTGTGTATGGTTTCTTGTTTTATTTTCTGGGTGGTATCAGCTTTGATGGAGTCTAGCCATTGTGTTTTTGGCAGTTTAATTTCCTTTTACCAGTGATCATTGGAAGCATAACTCCCTTTTCCAGTGAGTTCAGTTACATGTCATAGCTTAAATAAGTAAGGCAGAATTTTATGATTTCCAACCAGTAATTTGTCTAGTTTTATATGCTCCAATACTTACTTATTTGTCACTGTTGCTGTCCAAGGAATGTGCAAGAAATTTCTCCAACACCACATCTAGAACGAGTCAATTTCCCTTTTGTCTAGTTTTTTCATGGTTCAATTTTTGCAGCTGTAGGAAACGATTGGAAAAACAACAGCGTGGCATAATCTGAATTTAGTTGCCAAGCTGATATCCCTTCTTTCTATTCATGTTTATTCATGTTCATCCTTGTTGTATGACCCAGTGCAATTTGACCCTTTATTTCTGAACTGCATTCATTGCTTTGATCAATCTGCAATACTAGTAAAGTGAATTCTTGTACTCATTTGATCTCTTCACCATCAATTGTTATTTTGACATTTCTACTCCTATGCGTGGTCTTTTTTATCTTTAGGAAAAGACGATATATACAGTATGTGTATGTATGNGTTACATGGATGGTCAGTATTAGAAGGCCAGATAGTTCCTGTCATGCTATCTTTGACATTTATTTTTCTGAAATTACCCATTACTCTTTGAGAATTCTACCTTCATCTCATAGGAGTAGGGTCACACAGTTTTTTGAATCCTGTACTCCCTGTCAGATTGCAGACTAATTTTATTGGACTTCCTTTCAGTTTCTTATGAACCAAGCCCTGCTCCATCAAAATTTAAAGAATCTGACTACATCACTGCAGAAGTACCAGGCAGGCAACATGGTAGAGTAACTGTTTTTACATTCTACTCTCTTAGGGTTTTTTTGCTTTTTTGTAGTTTCAACTGTGGATGATAAATATCTTCCTAATGTCTTGACCACATCAGAACTTCCAATTACAAAGTCCAGTAATTATATGTTCTCATATGTTTGATAAAGTGATTTGTGGAGTGATTGTTGCTAGATAATGCATTCCTGGCAGTTGTTTAGAAAAAGAACAGTTGTGTACGGAACAGAATTTGAAAGATATAGCCACGGATCATGTGTATAACTTCGTTACACAGATGGGTAGTATTATAAGGCCCGATAGTTTTTGTCATACTACCTTTGATGTTTATTTTTTGGGAATTCTACCTTCATTTCATAGGATTAGGGTCACAAAGTATTTTGAATCCTGTACTTCCTGTGAGATTGCAGACTAATTTTGTACTGGACTTCCTTTCAGTTTCTTATGAATCAAGCCCTGTTCCACCAAAAATTAAGGAATCTGGCTACATCATTGCAGAAGTACCAGACAGGAAAAATGGTAGAATAACTGTTTTTACTTTTTACTCTCTGCTCCTTTACAAGATAGGTTCTTGCCTCTATCTAGTGTAATCTCATTGAAAGGGTTTACAAAATCCTGACATTCTGAAAATGTGTATATGCACAAGAATTAAGCATATTATTGAATTACGATTGCTCTACAACAGCAAGTAGAATGAAGGGACACTTTCCAACCAGAAGGCATAGCACCGTAAAAACCAAAAATTTCCTTGATCCCAGGATAATAAAGATGAAAATCCTTCCAGACAATCTATTTCTTCAAAGTAGTTTCATGTCTGTTAATTCCATTTTAAGACAAAATAGCACTTAGGCTTCTTCAGGTGAAACCAGGTCCAAGTGCACAATGTGAACTTATTTGGGGGTTGTTTGCTTTTTTCTAGTTTCAACCGAGGATGATAATTATCTTCCTAAAGTCTTGACCATGCCAGATCTACCAATTACCAAATCTGGAAATTATGTGTTCTCATATGGTTGATAAAAATATATACACAGTGATTGTTGGTAGATCATACGCTCTTTGGGGCTACTTAGAAGCAAAGAGTTTCTGGTTGAGCATAACTTCAAGAGGCCATATGCAGAGCTTTAGAGATGAATAATAATGGGAGAACATTTACTCTTTCAAGCTATTTTAAATATTTATTTTCTCAAATTTTAACTCCCATTTCTCTTTGAAAATTCTTTCTTCTTCCGTGCAAAATCCTTTCATAAGTAACACAGTATTTTTAATCATATACTTTGCTCTCAAATGGAGATTAATTTTAGACTGGACTTCCTTACAGATTCTTATAAACCAAGCCCGGTTCCGCCAAAGTATCAAGAACCCAACAACATCAAGTCTGCACTACCAGACAAGAAACATGGTAGAGTGACTTTTTTAATATGTTCTTTCTATCTGTGGTATTTATCTAGTGTATTCCTTTCTTAAATGAATACGACCTCCAGACATCCTTGAAATTAAAAAATTCATGTTCTAAATATATACTGTAGATAACTGTATAAAAAAGAGTAGACATTGAAGAGACATTCAAAGCTGACACACCAAACATTTCTGTGACAGTCCTCCACTGAGGATTAAAATTCATTTAAGACCATATGTTACTTAATTGTAGGGTCTGGTATAACAATACCACTCAAGATAGAAGGGTTCATAGGTAACTTTGGGTACATAGGTGTAACTGTCCTTGAATATGGACACTGTAAATATATCTTGGAGTTCTTTGCTTTTTTCTAGTTTCAACTGTGGATGATAAATATCTTCCTAAAGTCTTGACCATGCAAGAACTTCCAGTTACCAAACCTGGTAATTATATGTTCTCATATGTTTGATAAAGTGATATGTGGAATGATTGTTGGTAGATAAAGCATTCCTGGCGATTGTTTAGAAATAATGAGTGTCTGCACAGAACAGAATTTGAAAGATATTCCTACGGATCATGTGTAGAACTTCGTTACACGGATGGATAATATTAGAAGGCCATATAGTTTTTATTATGCTACCTTTAACGACCATTTTCCTGAAATTATCCATTATCCTTTGAGAATTCTTCCTTCATCTCATATGATGAGGGTCACACAGTATTTTGAATTCTGTACTCCCTGTCAAATTGCAAACTAATTTTATACTGGACTTCCTTTCAGTTTCTTATCAACCAAGCCCTGTTCCAACAAAATTTAAAGAACCTGGCTACATCATTGCAGAAGTACCAGACAGGAAACATGGTAGAGTGATGTTTTTTATGTTCTTCTCTCTGGTTCTTTACAAGATAGGTTTTTGCATCTATCTATTGTAATCTTATTGAAAGTGTTTGCAAAATCGAGACATGCCATTACCCTTTGAGAATTCTTAGAAGCAAAGAGTTTCTGATTGAACATAACTTCAAAAGGCCATATGAGAGCTTTAGAGATGAATAATATTGGGAGAACATCCACTCTTTCAAGCTATTTTAGATCTTTATTTTCCCAAGGTTTAACTCCCATTTTGCTTTGATAATTCTTTCTTCTTCCATTCAAAATCCTTTGATAAGTAACACCGTATTTTGAATCCTGTAATTTGCTCTAGGTTAACATTAGAATGGATTTCCTTTCAGATTCTTATAAACCAAGCCTGGTTCCACCAAAGTATAAAGAACCCGACAACATTATGCCTGCAGTACCAGACAAGAAACATGGTAGAGTGACTTTGTTTAACATGCTTCTTTCTACCTCTGGTATTTAATTAGTGTACTCCTTTCTGAAATGAAGATCAACTTCTTGAAATTATAAAATTAGTGTACTCCTTTCTGAAATGAAGATCAACTTCTTGAAATTATAAAATCATAAGTTCTGAATACATGCTGTAAAAATTGTACAAAAATAAATAGAAGCAGACATTCAAACCTGAAGACCTCAGACCAGTCACATCACAGGTTCCTTTTACGGTCCACCACTGTGGGTTAAAATTCATCTTGTTAATATGTTAGTTAATTGTAGGTCCATGTATGACAATTCCATTCAAGATAGATGGGCTCGTAGGCAACCTGGGGTACATAGGTGTAACCATGTCCTTGAATATGGGCAATGTAAATATATCTTGGGATTCTTTGCTTTTTTCTAGTTTCAACTGAGGAGGATAATTATCTTCCTAAAGTCGTCACCACACCAGATCTTCCAATTACCAAATCTGGTAATTATGTCTTCTCATATGGTTGATAAAAATGTATATACAGTGATAGTTGGTAGATCATGCACTCTTGGTGTCTACTTAGAAGCAAAGGTTTCTGATTGAGCATTACTTCAAAAAACTATATGCAGAGCCTTAGAGATGAATAATATTGGGAGAACATTCACACTTTCAAGCTAATTTAGATCTTTATTTTCCCAAGGTTTAACTCCCATTACCCTTTGATAATTCTTTCTTCTTTCATTCAAAATCCTTTATAAGTTACACGGTATTTTGAATGCTGTATTTTGCTGTCAAATGGAGATTAATTTTAGACTGGACTTTCTTTCAGATTCTTATAAATCAAGCCTTGTTCCACCAAAGTATAAAGAATCCAACAACATCATGCCCGCAGTGCCACACAAGAAACATGGTAGAGTTACTTTTTTAACATGCATCTTTCTACCTCTGGAATTTATCTAGTGTATTCCTTTCTGAAATGAACATGAACTCCAGACCTGAAGTGGGTTGTTGCTGGTTGGGCCTGGATTGGCCGAACCAGTAGTAGCAGTGGTGGGAGGCTCCACCCACCCGGCCAGGCATGTCTGAACATGTGCAGAAGTGTCACACATGTGCACAAATGCATGAATAAGCTCACCCAAACTGGTAGTAAAAAAAATGGCAACCTACCTCTGTCCAGACTTCCTTGAACATATAAAAGCATGAGTTCTAAATATATGCTGTACAAAACTGTAGAAAAACGAATAGAAATAGACATTCAAACCCAAAGACATCAGACCAGGTACACCAAAAGTATCTCTGATGGTCCTCCACCGAGGATTAAAATTCATCTAAGACCATATGTCTTAATGTCTCTAGGCTTTGATCAAGCAAAGCAAGTAGTAATCAATAGAATGAAGGACATGGGGTTCCAAGAAGAACTAAATAGGTTGCCTCTTGACAGTAGCAACAGAATCAAACAGGGTGTGTGGGAATCGGCAAGATATCTAAATGACCTGATCTTCCCAAAACAAAGAATAGCTTTCTTCAGAACTAGATTTAACATTCTTCCTTCAGAAGTCCTCCAGGGAAGATATAAGAGAACACCTATAGCAGAACGGGTTTGTATATGTGGTAAAGGAGAAGTGGAAGATANCTAACACTAAGCAGATTCCAAGTCACTGTGACTTGGAATCTGGCAGCAACTACCTTGGCTTTAATTATTTTAAAAAAATTCTTTAAAATTCTTTCCTTTTCCTCATGACTGGTGAGGCCACGCCTCCCCTGCTTCTAGTGACTGCATGTCCCTGGTCCTTAGGATAGTCTTTTGTGCTCTTGTCATATTGTAACTAGACTATTGTACTTTACTCTACATGAAGTTTTTCTTTAAGACCACCCACAAATTGTAATATGTAATTGTAATAAAACACAATAACATTCCACTACAATGACTTTCAAGTAGTATTTAGGTTTTTTGGGAAGGCCTTTGGGGACTGATAATTGTGGAACCATGGGTGTAGAAATTGGTTACATCATGTCATGTATTTGTGATGTTATATGATATATGTTGTATCTTATTTTCTGTATGTTATATGTTATATGGTAATATTACTGTGCACCATCTAGAAATCTGGATTAAGATAGTAAATGCATTGAGTCTATAAATGAATATGCTAAATGCTTCCAATGTACTGATTTGGCATTATTCTTGAGAAAGTTATATGAAATCAACTTATATGAAATCTTAAATATTAAATCTCCAGAATCATATACAACTTATATGAAATCTACAGAATAATATACAATATTAATTAGCTGATTATATTTTAATTGCCTGTCACAAATAATATGCCATTAAAAACATCCCATGAAAAATACCAGACTTAAAACCCTGAATCCTTAGATTTCTTTCCTCTGTTTCAGTATGATATCTTTTATACTCCAGCAGTTACCAACAAATTGATTCCACTTCCTGCTTCAACAAAGATATCTGTCACTGATGGACATCCAGTGGCAACAATGGGTAACATATATTTTACTTCAACAACTCCTAATTCACATATTACTTTTTTCTCATATTCATATACATCCATCCATTATATTTATTATTTAATCATATGTTTTACTCATGCAATTTATTTATCATTAACATTTTATTAGCTATTTAAATGCTGTGTATTCCTTATATAATGATTAAAAGAGGTATTTGATTCCCTAAAGTTTATAAACTATGAATCTATCTGTTGCATTCTATTGAATTCTGCCAAATCTGGGTAACATTGTGAGTAAGAATATCAAATGGCATTTGAATATATGGTAGGGTGAAAATAATAGGGACCATGATTCCATGTCTGACAGAATTAGGCATATGCTTAACCTATTGGATGAGTAGATTTAGTAAAGTAAGAGGAAAAACATAATGTGCACTTGATTCTTAATCGGGGGTGGGTTTCAGATTGTTTTACTGCCAGTTCGATCAGTTTTACTGCCACTTCCTTGCTGAACTGGGCCGAACCGGTAGGAACCGACCTCTGCTCTTAATCTGTTGTAATTTTTGTCCCTAATTGGACCATCTTTACATTGAAACCAGATACACAACTACAAGCAAGAAGGGAATAATTGAAACCAGATTACTAGAAAAAAGTTCAATATATTACTAGACAAAACTTCAATCTATGAATAATTGCATTGGATGTTTCTAATTAGCAACTAAATTGCAATAGTTGCTATAATTTGATCATCATTTTAAAAAAATTTCAAAGACCGCCACCAATCACACTTAGTAAATCATAATTTAAGAGCTCCAAAATAATCTGCTGAATTATTTTTATTTTCATAAATAAATATTGTTTACTTTAAATCTCAGTCCAAAAAATGTTTCAGAATACAATAGTCATCTTAATTAGTGTAGAATATTGCAAATACATTAAGTAACTCAACTGATTATTCAAACAAAATAACTTTCTAAAAGATTGAGATTATGTTCTGAAGAAAGTACAGTCTAATATTTGAGAATGACTATAAAAAGTCACATAAGCAAAAAAAATTAAGAGGGAAAGTTTTGTACTTCACCTGATAAACATTACCCTAAAACTTTGGTACTATCAGTGAGACATACTTTTGTAGTCAAAATCCTCTACTGTTTATTGAACTCAACTTCAGTCTAAGAAATATGTTTAAAAAAACATGTATAATATGTTATTAACATTTCAAGTCAAATTTGAGGCTTGTAAACATTACCTTTATGAACCAAGCCCTGTTTCATAAAAAATTAAAGAATATGATTTTACTATGCCAGAAGTACCAGACAGGAAACCTGGCGGACTGACTTTTTAACTATCGTATTTTTTGTATATCTTTTTGAAATATTCTCTAGTAGTATATACTGTTTCAAAGGCCCCAATATGAGATTCAGGCTTCATTAAAATGTTATAAAATTTTGAAAAACCATTAATGAAATGCAGTGACAAGAGTCTTGATTTTTATTGTTTATTTTCACCCTCATTCTGAGTTTTGCACATTGGATCTTATCCAACATATTGCAAAATAAACATTTATGCAGTACACCTTAATAAATAACAGCTATGATCACATTCAATAACTGAAAGCACATGACCTAGGTTTAAGAGATTGGATATAAATATACCATTCAATCCTAACATACTTTGTTTATTTCAAGTTTGCACTAAGGAAGAAAGTTTCCTTCTAATAGCCACACCAAAACTCAAATTTACGGAGCATGGTAATAATGTGTTTTTCAATATTTCCTGAAATTTTATGTCATGTGATAATTAGTTGTGAATGCATTGATGTGGCCATTAATGTATAAGTATCTGGAATGCATATAAATCTGAATCAAGTTCTCTTTAACTTATATATAGTAATAAAACACAAGCAAGACAATATTTAAACAAGCAAAACTTGACTTAAATGGGAAATGTGACTGCAAACAAAGCTAATATAATTTTACATGGTGAATGCAAACAAAGCTAATACGATTAATTACAATGTCATAGTAAATTGTGTACTTCAAATTTGAGACAATGCAGGAAAATTTATTTATAAATTGACACAATGTAAACATGTTAGACATCAAAAGGTCATTGTCCTCAGCAAATTCAGAACCTTAAAAAAATTGTCCTTGAAATAATAATGTGTAACTCATACTAAACTAGGGGTGTCAAACTCGCAGCCCACGGCCTGCATACGTCACGTGCTGGCCATGCCCACTCCAGTTTAGCAAATAGGGGAAAGTCACAATATGTCACATGATGACAATGTGACATCACAAGTTTGAAACCCATGTATTAAACAATTCAAATATCTCTTCTTAAAATTATATTCAATACTATTCTTTCACTTAACTGTCTTTTTCTTTCCGGAGAGTATTTGAGAAGTCAATTCCCCTACAGGTTCAAACTTTGGTTATTTAAGAAATAGTTTGAATATTAATATGACCTACCAAATTGAGAGTCCATTTACCATCCTTTCAAGATACTGTATTAATTAATTCTCAACTGGATTTCTTTTCAGCTTCAAAAGAAATAAATCCTGTTCCATCAAAGTCTAAAGAATTCGACTATACCAAACCAGAAGAACCAGACAGGAAATTTGGTATAATGATTTTTAAATATTTATTCCTTCTACTTTACAAGATAACTATTTGAATATATCTACTGTATTCTTATATTATATGAATATGAAATCCATATTTGGGGTTGTTTGCTTTTTTTCCAGTTTCAACTGATGATGATAATTATCTTCCTAAACTCTTGACTACATCAGAATTTCCAATTACCAAACCTGGTAATTATATGTTCCTATATTTAATAAAATTTTGTACATTGTGATTGCTGGTTAGATAATGCATTCTCCATGGCTACTTAGAAACAAGTAGATTTAAGACTTAAAAAAAACTTTGAGAGACATGCTTGTTGATCATATGCAAAGATTTACTTTAACCACAATATTTCAAGAATCCAACAATAAATATTCCTTTTTGAGGCTTTTCTTGAAATTATTTTTCATGAGGCTTCACATATACAGTGTTACTCTCTCAGAAATTTTATTCTCCACTTCAAAACCCTTCCAAAGATATGATTTCTATCAGATGGTATTTTGAATCTTGTATTTCCCCTTCAAATGTAAATTAATTTTAGGCAAGACTTCGTTTCAACTTCTTTTAATATAAGCCTGGTTCTGCCGAGTTTAAAGAACCCAACCACATCATGTCAGCAGTACCAGACATGAAACATGTTAGAATTTATCTAGTGTATTACTTTCTGAAATGAACATAAATTCCAGACTTCCTTGAAATTATAAATATATTCATTCAATCATGAATGCTGTACAAAATTGAATAAAAAAGAATAGAATTACCAGTACACATTCAAATCTGAAGACATCACACCTTGCACAACAAACTTTCTTTAATAGTCCTGTATTGTAGATTAAAATTAATCTAAGACAAAACATTACTTCATAATAGAACCATGCATAATGACATAGAAGACCTTGTAAGAGACATAGGATACATAAGTGCAACCATGTCCTTCAATATGGACACTATAAATTTATTTTGGGATTGTTTGCTTTTTTTCTGTTTCAGCTGAAGATGATAATTATCTTCCTAAAGTTTTGACCACATCAGAATCCCCAATCACCAAACCTGGTAATCATGGCTTCTCATATGTTTGATAAAATTGAATTTTGTTTGTGCCTGAGAATGCATTCCCAATAGCAATGTACATACACAGAATTTCTGCACTGGCTGGAACTTTGAAAGAGATACCAATGATGATACGTAGACTTTCAATACACAGATGAATAGTGTTAGGAACCATGCTTATTGTATCGTGTAACTTTTGATATTCACTTTCTTGAGGTATAACTCCCATTACCCTGTGAGAATAATTACTTCTTCAGTTCAAAATCCTTTCATACAGGATTAGAATAACATTGTATATTGAATCTTGTACTTTGCTGTCAAATGTACATTAATTTTAGACAGGACTTCTTTTCAGCTTCTCATAAACCAAGGCCGATTCCAACACAGCTTAAACAACCTGACAACATCATACCAGAAGTACCAGACATGAAACATGGTAGAGTGACTTTTTTTACATGCTTCTTTCTATCTCTGGAATTTATCTAGTATATTCCTTTTGGAAATGAGCATGAACTCCAGATTTCCTTAAAATTATAATCCTCCACTGAGGATTGAAATTCATCTAACAAAATACGTTATAACAATTCTTCCTCAAGATAGAAGGCCACATAGGCAACTTGGGGAGCACAGGTGTAACAATGTGCTTCAATATATACGCTGTAAATTTATTTGGGGGTTGTTTGCTTTTTTTCTAGTTTCAATGATGACGATAATTATCTTTCTAAAGTCTTGATCACGCCAGATCTTCCAATTACCAAATCTGGTAATTATGTGTTCTCATATGGTTGATAAAAATGCACGCAGTGTGATTGTTGGTAGATCATGTTGGTAGCTACTTAGAAACAAAGCATAACTTCAAAAGATCATATGCAGAGCTTAAGAGATGAATAATATTGGAAGAACATTCACTCATTCAAGCTCCTTTTGATCTCCCCCCCCCCAGTTTTAACTCCCATTAAGCTTTCAGAAGTCTTTCTTATTCCTTTCAAAATCCATTCATAAGTAACATCGTATCTTGAATCCTGTACTTGCTGTCAAATGGAAATTAATTTTGGATTGGACTTCCTTTCAGATTCTTATAAAGCAAGCCCGGTTCCGCCAAAGTATAAACAACCTGACTACATCATGCCCGCACTACCAGACAAGAAACATGGTAGAGTGACTTTTCAACATGTTTTTTCTTCCTCTCAAATGTATCTACTGCATTCCTTTCTAAAATAAACATGAAGTCCAGTTACCAAACCTGGAAATTATAAAATACATATTTTAAATATATATTGTATAAAACTGTACAAAAAAAGAGTAGACATTGAGTAGACATTCAAACCTGAAGACATCAAGCACACCAAAAGTTTCACTGACGGTTCTCCACTGAGGATTAAAATTAATCTAAGACCATATCTTACTTAATTGTAGGATCTGGTATAACAATTCCACTCAAAGTAGAAGGACTTGTATGTAACTTGGGGTCCATAGGTGTAACCATGTCCTTGAATATGAACGCTGTAAATATATCTTGGGGTTCTTTGGTTTTTTCTAGTTTCAACTGTGGATGATAAATATCTTCCTAAAGTCTTGATCTTCCAATTACCAAACATGGTAACTATACGTTCTCACATGTTTGATAAATTGATATGTGAAGTGATTGTTGGTAGATAAAGAATTTCTCGTGGTTTTTTTTTTTAAGATATAACGACTTTCTGCGTAGAACAGAATTTGAACAACATGCCCACAGATCATGTGTCGAACTTGGTTACACGGATGGATAGTATTAGAAGGCCAGATAGTTCTTGTCATGCTATTTTTGAGATACATTTTCCTGAAATTACCCTTTCAGAATTCTTCTTTCAAAATCCCTTCATTTATTATGATTAGGTTCACACAGTATTTTGAATCCTGTACTCCCTGACAGATTGCAAACTAATTTTGTACTGGACTTCCTTTCAGTTTCTTATGAACCAAGCCCTGTTCCATCAAAATTTAAAGAATCTGACTACATCACTGCAGAAGTACCAGACAGGCAACATGGTAGAGTAACTGTTTTTACATTCTACTCTCTGATTTACAAGATAGGTTTTTGCATCTATCTATTGTAATCTTATNTTTCTGAGAAGAGACTTTATCATCAGCATATTGAAAATTGTTCTTTCCTTTAATCTTTACTACATCTTTTAATTCTTCAAACTCCAGCTTTCACATGATTGCTTTGGCATATGTGTTGAAAAAGAAAGGTCTTACCATACTTCTTTCTCTATTTTGAACTAAACAGTGCCTTCATATGCTGTTTGCCCAGTGACTTTCTGATTTATGTACAGTGACTGCACAACTTGAACAAATGTATTGACATTCCAGGTCTTCCAAGACTCTCCACAGTTTGTTATGATTAACACAATCAGCTTTCTTACAGATATTGATGTGCTTTGATATTCCTGAGATTTTTCCATGCTCCAGCATAGATTTGCAATATTTTCAGTAGTGTCATGCCCCCTTCTGAAGCCAGCTTGAACATTTGGTAGTCTGGGTTATAGAATTCTTTTCCATACATTTATCTAATCTAATCTCTAAAATGTATCTAATTTTAGAACCACTTGTACTGATCCTCAGACAAGTTCTTTGACATAAAATTCCATTAATTTAATTAAGTATTTTATTCTATCATTTTGATTCTCTTAGTAAGGTGGGAGATACATTGTAAGAGAAACATAATATCTTTTCTCTATCAAGCATGCAATTTAAAATATCACATATTTTTTCCACCTTCCTTTTAAATTAAATTTAAAAGGCCCCCAAAAATGTCTTTTCTTGCAGGGCAACTGTCCTGTATCTTTTTCAATGTCTTTTCAAATACATTGGTCAGTATTATAATGCTCACCATAGAGCATCATTATTTTGGCCATTTTACTTTCAATTTCTTTTTACTGAATGGGAATTCCATTGGGCTCTGAAGCCAATTCTAGAGAGAATACTTCCAATTTAAGCCTATATTCTCTAATTATCACAATATCTCAGTGGTTCACATTCTCAAATGTAATTACCAAGGCAATTTAAGCATGAAACACATGCCTCAATTTCTTGTTGCTACTCATGCATACATCTAGAGTCTTTTTCTAACAGTAGACAATTATTATCTAATATTGGTGTGGGTAATTTTATACTGTTAGAAAAAGACTCATTTTTTGTAATTTCACAAAATTACAAATTCCTGGTGAAGATAGCTAAATCTACTGTATATCTTTCTGGTGATTTTGAGTTTTTGGAGTTTGTCTTTCATGTTTAAACTCTTTGTAGCTCTGTTACATGACATGTGGACCATATAAATGGATAACAGGCAGTTGGCTTTTGGGAAATTAGAATTATATAAGTATTACCTATCATAGCACATTATCTATCTCTCCTCCATATACTAAGTTAATAGTTGTTCAAGAGTTTAACTTAGGCCAGTGCAATATATCTTTCTCTCTAGGAACATAAATTGCTTTCATGGAAAGTGAATATCTCACCATGAAGAGATAAGTTCTTTTACAGTAGATGCTAAATAGCCATAGCTGCAACAAAAATCAGCTTCTAGAATAATATTTTATGTGATAGTATCTAATTCCCAAATGATGTTTTTCTATTTTTTTTTTCATTAGCAGAAAAAGAATCACAACAGAAAACCACTGCATCTAGCTTTTTTAAAATCCCAGAATTGCCAAGAACAACAATGGGTAAAAAATAATTACGTTTACATAAAATTGCAGGAAACCATAATTTGCATATATTTTTTGATATTACATAAGTGGACTATTTCCATAATAGTAGTGTGTGGTCTTTGTCTGGCCATGGTGTACCTGCTGTTATCTTATGCCTGAGTTGGCTGTGCTATTTCTTTGCCTGGTTTTACATCTGACTTCAAGTGATGAATCCTCAATGGAAATCATACTTCGTATCAGATTTGATCATCTTATACTTCTAATTTGAACCATAGTGATACTTGCTAAAGTCCCACACTGTTTACCATTATTTACACGTGATAGCTGTCATTTGCTGCTTTTTTGGACAGCTTTTCATTAATCAAATGTTTTAAACTGCCATGTTATCTAGCTAGCTATTCTCTTATTCTCATCATTCAGAATGATGTCTGTCTGTTTGCTTGCTTATTTATTGGATTTATATGTCAATATTTTTTATTTTTGAATTGTTGAATTGGCTATTATTTAACCAAACAAATTAGGTTATAAGAGAAAGTCACACACCACACCTGCAATGCGCTCTACATGGGGCAGCCTTTGAAGAGTATTCGGAGACTACAACTCGTCCAGAATGCAGCCGCGTGAGNGTCATGCCTGTTAATTCCATTTTAAGATGAAATAGCTTTTAGGCTTCAACAGGTGAAAATGTTCAAGTGTGCACTGAGAACTTATTTGGGGATTGTTTGCTTTTTTCTAGTTTCAACTGAGGATGATCATTATCTTCCTAAAGTGTTGACCACGCCAGATCTACCAATTACCAAATCTGGTAATTATGTGTTCTGATATGGTTGATAAAAATGTATACACAATGATTGTTGGTAGATATGAAGTATTGGTGGCTACTTAAAGGAAGTAAGTTTCTGATTGAACATAACTTCAAAAGACCATATGCACAGCTTTAGAGAGGAATAATATTAGGAGAACTTTCACTTTTTATCAAGCTACTTAAAATCTTTATTTTCCCAAAGTTAAACCCCATTACCATTTGATAATTCTTTCTTCTTCCATTCAAAATCCTTCATAAGTAACATTGTATTTTGAATCCCGTACTTCGTTTTCAAATGTAGGTTAACTTTAGACTGCATTTCCTTTCAGATTATTATAAACCAAGCCTGGTTCCGCCAAAATATAAAGAACCCGACAACCTCATGCCCCCACTACCAGACAGGAAACATGGTAGAGTGACTTTTTTAACATGTTCTTTCTACCTGTGGTATTTGTCTAGTGTATTTCTTTCTGAAATGAACATGAACTCCAGACTTCCTTGAAATTAAAAAAGCCTAAATCTAAATACATGTGGTACAAAATTGTACAAAAAAAGAGTAGACATTGAGTAGACATTCAAACCTGAAGACATACCAGACGTTTCTCTGACGATCTTCCACTGAGGATTAAAATTCATTTAGGGATTATATTAGTTCTATTAGATGATATTGTAGGACCATATTTAGCAATTCAACTCAAGATAGTAGGGCTTGTAGGCAATCTGGGGCACTGAATATGGCCACTGTAAATATATCTTGGGGTTCTTTGGTTTTTTCTAGTTTCAACTGTGGATGATAAATATCTTCCTAAAGTTTTAACCACATCAGAATTTCCTATTACCAAACCTGGTAATTATACGTTCTCATATATTTGATAAAGTGATATGTGTAGTGATTGTTGGTAGATAAAGCATTCCTGGCGAATGTTTAGAAATAACGAGTTTCTGCATGGAACAGAATTTGAAAGACATGCCCAAGGATAATGTGCAGAACTTTAGGAAGATATTTATCATCCATTGCTGAAACTAGAAAAAGGAAACAATCCCCAAATAAGTTCTCATTGTACATATCGAAGGACATGGCTACACACACACACACACACACACACACACACACACACACAC